CATTTTGATAAAATTATCACAAGGTAGTTTAATAAAATGAGCTTAATATCTTTTAATAGTGTAGTGATTTGGATTTTCCCAGTTCTTTACCTTGTTGCTGAGTTTTGGCGACCTTTCACACACAGACTGCAGGTGCCACTTGAAAGCTGTATATCACAGATTTTCTACTTAAAAAAAAGGGAAACAGCATCAGCGTAACAGGATTTTTCTTCCCCTTGAGTTCCTTTAATGGAAGATGATAAAGACATTGAACGGAAGTCTTGTACGAAATGAGACCTTCCATCCTAAACAGCAGTCAAAGCATGTAGAATTGTTGAAGTACTGGACTGGACACCAAATTATAATAATGATCACTACTGGTAAAAAAAAATCAAGGAACTAGATCCACAATCCAAAGACATGTAGTTAGTGGGAATAGGTTAAATGGAAATTCTTAATTGCCCATAGGTGTGACTGTGGAAGTGAATGTGAGTGTGGATGGTTGTCTGTGTCTATGTGTTAGCCCTATGACAGACTGGCGACTTGTCTGGGGTGTAGCGGAAGTGGATGGATGGATGGATGGATGAATGGATGATGGCTAGACCATCTAGTACAGCAGTCCCCAACCTTTTTTCACGGACCAGTTTATGTCCGGCAATGTTTTCACGGACCGGCCTTGTGGATAAATACAACAAAATGAAACCAATGATCTAGCACTTATGCTAATTATTGGAAAGGAAGCCCCTTCTTGTTTGCAGTGGTCATGGATATGTTGATAAATGAGGTCAGGCAGGAGACTCCACGGACTGTGATGTTCGCAGACAACACTATGACCTGTAGTGAGCGTGAAGCGCAGGTGAAAGAGAGCCTGAACAGGTGGAGGTATGCTCTGGAATGAAAGTCAGTAGAAGTAATGCAGAAAGCATGTGCTTGAATGAGATGAAGAGTGGTGTAACAGTGAAGATCCAACAAGTAGAGGTATTAAATGTACAGAAGATGAGATTAGATACCCAATGTCAACCAAATTCAAAGCAATGGACAATACACAAGAAAGGTGAAGAAGAGAGTGGAATAGCTGGAGGTGAGTGTCAGAGGAAGTTTGTGTCAGAAGAACAGCTGCAAGAGTGAAAGGGAAGGTTTACAAGATAATAGTTAGATGTGCTGTGATGTACGGTTTGGAAATGATGGGAATCCTATGGAAAAGATAGGAGGCTAAATTGTAGGGTAGCTGAGTTAAAGATGTTAAGGTTTTCATTGGAAGAGACTGGGATGGAAAAAAATTAGGAATGAACATGTCAGAGGCACAGCTCAGGTTAAGCATTTTGAGACAGAGTTAGACAGGAAAGGCTGAGATGATATATTCGACAAAGGATGCTGAAGATCTAGGCAGGACAAAAAGAGGAAGACCACAGAGAAGATTCATGGATTTAGTGAAGGAGGACATGCAGAGGGTTTGTATTACACAGGAGGATGCTAGGGATAGGGTGAGATGGAGGCAGATGATCCGCTGTGGCGACCCCTAAAGGGACCAGCTGAAACAAGAAGAGGAGTATTGATTGAGCAGAATGCATTCCCAGTTATTTTTCAACCACTGTGTCATGTGGCTTCTGCAGCTGTGTATGTGTACACGTGTGTACTTCTGTGCGTGTATAACTGCTGTTTCAAAGTGCGTAAAAGGATTGTTCCATCTGCTGATATGTAGAAAGTAAAAAGACATCATCTTATACCTTTATGTGTGCGTGAGTATTTAAGACCATCAGTTGAACGGCTGTTTATATGGTTAAAGAAATGAGTACTTGTAGGAATAGTGACAGAGCCTTTGCACGCTATTGACTGCGAATAAATAAAAGATAATTAATGGTGGAAAACCTTCATATTTTTCTCTGAATGTCAGTGTAACACTTCCTGATTGGATGAGGAGTTAATCCCCTGGGTACAAATATGATTTTACCATCAGTCTCTTTTAGAGCGGCTTTTTATTCTGGCAGACCTATATTATCCGTTTCCAGCAGTTGTAAAAATATGGTTGTGGTCATGAAAAAATCTGTACACTGACATATGAAAAATCTCATACTGTAAGTAGAGATTTTGTTCTCTAAGATTCTCTCGGTATCCAATAAGTTTCATAGATGTGTTGAAAAGTCTTCAGTGTTGACTCGCCAGAGTCATTTAGTATGCCCTGCAATGGACTGGCCACCTTTACACGCTATGCCCCGCCTCTGGCCCTGTGATGAATAGGATAATGACACTGTAGCAGTTAAGAAAATGGATAAATGGATGGAAGATGTGAAGTTCATTTAGTAGGTGCAGAGGTTAATAAAGCTACTCAGTAATTTAATTTTAGTTCCACAAATTTATGAAATTTATAAATGAGCTCAAGTACTTAAGATGTGTATTAATCTATAGCTGGAAATAGTCCAAGCTAATTTGCAATGCCTTATTGTGCGAGCAAGCTTTACTAAAAAACAAAAACAAAAACATGTATACATCTACATGCCTTTTTTGTCTATTTCTAACATGTATGCAGGGGAAAAAACAACTTGATTTACATTCTCTGGCAATATCCATGCAAAACTCTAAGCTATGATATAAATGACTTGGAAAAAAATCTGCCACATGTGAAAAATAACTTCTCCTATGAATATGCATGTGTCTGCATAAGTGATTTGTTTCTACCCTTGAGTGAAGTTGGTATAATACAGTACCTAAAAGAAAACAGATCTACTTGGACTTGAGCCCAGTGACTTAGCTGGCCAGTATATATGGTAAATGCATCTTTGTTTGGTGTTATCCAGTGGTGAATTGTTAGTGGCATACATACTCTATCAAAGTCTGCTCATGGCTAGACTAATCAGTCTCTCCCGCTAGTATGAGACTAATGCATTTTAACTCTTGCCTATTATCTATAATTCTCTTTTATATTCCACAATTCTGTTAACCCAGCAATTTCCTCTGCTTCTGTTATACGATTGGCTGTCAGGTGTAATTTCCTGGCATGTCCTCCAATCAGGGTGGTCTGTTTTCTGTGTGTCAGCAAGTGTTGGGGTTGCTCTTCCATCAGTAGGATCATACTGGGGGTGTTTGAATCAGCTTCACATTATATTACTCTCTCACACATGCATGCATGTACCCTCTCTTACAGACTACCACATTGTGGAGGAGAGGTAGTATTTAGTGCAGCACAGGGACCTTGGTGTGGCAGTGTCAGTGATGGATATGGCAGTAGGATCAGCAGTCTTGGCTTTTGCAGAAGTGTGTTGTCCACCACTGGGATCTGTCAGATCTGTTCTGCTGAGCCCACACATTCTGCTGGCTGGCTGCTAATGCTGCTAGCTATTTCTTTAATCGCTTGTGTGTGTGTGTGTGTGTGTGTGTGTGTGTGTGTGTGTGTGTGTGTGTGTGT